CACTCCAGTCTGGGCAACAGAGTGAGACTCCAACTCAAAAAAAAAAAAAAGAAAACAAAAGGGAGCAAGCCCCAGACTGGAGGAGACACAGAGAACACAGCTGAGAAAGGGCTGCAGACAGTACCGCACGGAAACCCAATGTGCAGTGCCTCAGCAGGAGGACAGCCTAAGATGGGATGGGTGGTCTGAGCTGACGTGCGTTTCCAGTTGAGGAATTTTGCAGGTTTTTTCTGGGTTTATAGTCTTTTTCTTACTTTGTCTTGGTTAGTTGTTTAAAAAATAGAACTATTTAAATTGTCCTTTAGAAAGATGAGGTTCTTTTTCTTTCAGGGAAAACACTCTGCACATCTTAAAGCAGCGGCAGCTTTCTTCTTACATAGGAGGTACCCGCCCTCTTGTCACGGAACTGGTAAGTGTCCCTTAAATGAAAGTTATCTTTACAGTTCAGTAATTTTTTTTTTTAATGAAAGCTGAGATTTTTTTCTCTTGAACCCTTCAATTTTCCTAAAGATTTGCACACACCAACATTTTACTCTAAAACAACCAAGTCATATTTGAATCTGATGATGTATTTGAGCATATCCTTGGCTTTTGAACTGGTTTTTTTTTTCCTTGTGTTGTAGTCTCACTCTGTAGCCCAGGCTGGAGTGCAGTGGCACGCTCACGGCCACTCCAGTGTTGACCTACTGGGTTCCAGCAATCCTTCCACCTCAGCCTTCCAAGTAATGGATTTACAGGCGCACACTACCACCCCCGGCTAATTTTTTTTTTTTATTTACTGTAGAGACGAGGTCTCACCAAGCTGCCTGAGGTGGTCTCAAACCCAGGAGCTTGGGCAGTCCACTTACCTCGGCCTCCCAAAGTGCTGGGATTACAGGCTGAGCCACCAAGCCTGGCCTGCTTTTGAATTGTTAAACAATGAGAAGTATAGATAGTGCACCTAATTTGCCAGCTTTAAAAAGAAGTTAATTTTGGTCTTGTAGCAAGCTTTGACTGATGATATAATGTAATAGCCTGTGAAAGCTCTTTTATAAAGAAAGCAAGTAAGAAAATGGTCTTATGAATTAGCGTGATGTTACAAAGGTTATTCCAGGATATAAGGAATAGGAACAACAGTGGAGTTGAAAAGAACTGGAGCTAGGTTATTTCAGAAATAAAAGTAGAAACTTGGTGACAGGTAGGGCATGTGAAGTATCTCTGTTATGACGACAGGTAAGAGAAAAAAGGTAACAATTGAGTACCATATGTTCTCACTCATAAGCAGACCTTGAACAATTATAATACTAGAAGAAAGGGATGGGCAGTAGTGGGAAACTGCCAGGGGAGGGGGAGTGGGATTGGCATTTGAGGGAAACTGCGAGGGGAGGGAGGGGCATACCTCATCAACAAGGGTACCTGCATAATCAACGTTTGTATACCTAACCCTGAATTGTACCCCACATCTTTGTAACAAAAAAATAAAAGTAAGAATAAATTTTAAAAAATAAAGTAACAATTGAAAAATTATTAGAATTCATTTGGTAGGAAAGTGTCTTTATTTCATGGAAGTTGTTTGGGAACTGCTGACAAGCTTGAAGTAGATGACAGCTTAATTACCCACAGCAGGCAGTAGCTGACAGTCACCATTCCAAATAGCTGGAAAGGGAGATTTCCTTTTGCCACAGGAAGGTCATTTTCAAAAATGGGTGGCTGTGTCTGCAAGGCATTTGTGGGAGAGACCAGTGGATCCATCGTGCATTCCATGTCGTGGATTGATACTCAGTTACCGTGTCCTCTGTAACTCGGGGAATAAGAATTACTTGTTGCATTGAAGTAGTTTTCCACTTGAAATCTGTCATGTAGTTTTTGGGTGCTGTTTGCTGCTCAAGTGAGGGGACAGCCTGCAATCCTAAGTGTTTACAAGCACGTGAATAGTTGTGGGTAGGAGTAACTGGTTCCGGAGTTTTTATTTATTTATTCACTAGAAATTGGTTAGAATTTTTTCGCTAGCATTGGTGCATTTTATGTGGTTTTAAGCCCAAATGGGGTCTTAGTGGAGAGGCTGTCTTCCTCCCTGTGTTCTCAGAAGGTACCAGCTAAGCATGTTCCAGTCACAGGGGAGAGGGCAGCAGTCTTCCTCCATGTTCGCCTTCCATCTAAGTTCGCCTCTGTTTACAGTTACCTGGACTGTGCCTCTGCTGTGACCCTGGAGCTCAGCTTATCCTCTAGTGTCCCCAGTGCTGGACTGGACTGGTGGCATTTCTGCCTTGCCTGACCTGGGCATGCCCTTTGGTGCCAGTGGCAGCTGCTTTAAGTGGGGCAGCAGACAGTTGTGTGGCTGTGTAGACACCTGTGACTCTATGGCACCTTCGCTCCCTTGGTTTTCTAACTACATTGTACGTGAACCTATTTTGGTATATAAACTCGGAACCAATGGATCACCTCTTGACGTTTGGACATCTGTGGGTATGAAGGATTTATCATTGACGATTTTTTTTGTAGGACCCTGATGCTCCCATCCGACAGAAAATGCCTCTGGATGACCTAGACAGAGAAGATGAAGTCAGGTTACTCAAATACCTTTTCACACTAATCCGTGCCGGCATGACAGAAGAGGTAAGACAGGTGTGCCTGCCTGTTCTCTTTCAGCAGTCTTGGACTCTGTTTGTTGGAGGAGAAACCTAGCCCGCTCGTGTACTTCCTTGATACAGTGATTCCATTCACAGTAGGCCTGGGTCTGACTTCCTGTTTGAACATTTCCAGTGATGAGAAACACATTAGTTTAGAGGCACTGCACTCTGATTTGTACAACTCTAATAGAAAAAATTTTCTTTATCTTTTTCTTTTTCTTTTTCTTTTTCTTTTTTTTTTTTTTTTTTGAGTCAGGATCTTATTCTCGCCCAGGCTGGAGTGCAGTGGCACAACCACAGCTCACCACAGCCTCAAATCCTCGTGCCTCAGCCCCTTGAGTAGCTGGGACTACAGGCATATGCCACCACCCTGGCAAATTTTTAAATTTTTTGTGGAGACAAGGTCTCACTGTGTTGCCCAGGCTGATCTCAAACCTGTGGGCTCAAGCAGTCCCCCTGCCTCGGCCTCCCACCTTGCTGGTGTTACAGGCCTGAGCTACTACTGTGCCTGGCCACAGTTTTTTTTAAAGGTCATAAATTCAGAATGATGCTTGGGGTGTACTACTCTTTAACTGGTTCTATTAACCAGGCTGTCTAGGCTTAAGTGACAGAAGCCCAGCTAAAGTCACTTAATGTTTACAAGGGGAGGATTGATTGGCTCATGTGACTGGGACATGTGTAGAGGGTTCTCACAGGCCTTCTGCTGAAGGCCAGGGACTCCGAGAAGAATCTTCCCAGGCTTGAGTTTAACTCTGCCCCCAGGGCTCATCCCACATATCAGAGATGGCCACCAGCAGCTCCACCCCGGCCTACTCCGCCCCAGGAGTCCCGCAGGAATTTGCTGTCTTGCCCGATGTCTCTAGCAGTGACTTGTTTATCCCATCCTAGCCGAGCTCTGGAGTGGGATAAGGCCGTCCTACCATGTGAACTAGCACTAGGAATGGGCTGGTCCGTACAGGAACAACGGGTACAGATGGACCTTGCTGGCATGTCAAGCACATCCTCGTGGTCAGGTGGGACAGAAGGAAGATCTGTCAGTGGATGGAATAGCAGTACCGCGTTGTTGACTCACGGTGCTTCCTGACACATCTACACCAGCCAAGGGCCATCCACCTCCACACCTTGTTTGTCTCTAGTGGAATTAAATGCCAGCAGGTGTCTCAGGAGCTAATCGCTAAGCCTAAAATCAAAAGAGAAAAGAGATTCTTAGAAACAGAGGCAGAGATCGCAGGAGACACGCCGTGTTGGTGAAGCGGGGTGCTGTTACTAACTGCCGGCATCGTCTGTGTGCCAGTGAGTCTTGTGGTGCATTGGCGCACTGGACCGCAAGGCCCAGGGGCCTCCTGAGTGCTGCACTGTGACTTGGCGACCTCTCTCTCTCTTGCTTCCGAAGGCACAGCGACTGTGCAAGCGCTGCGGGCAGGCGTGGCGAGCTGCGACTCTGGAGGGCTGGAAGCTGAGCCACGACCCCAACATCAGTGGAGGTATTCCACGGGCTCTCCCTGGCGGTTGGGACTGAGGCTAGAAATGCCAGTCTTGGTGAGCGGGGCTTTTCTTTTTAAAAAGGACTGAAATAAGGTCTCATTTTAAACTAATGTTTCTTTTACTGTTTTATAGGAATCGAGTTGGAACCTGTTGAAGGGAATCCATACAGACGCATTTGGAAAATAAGTTGTTGGAGAATGGCAGAAGATGTAAGGGAGATAAAATGTTCAGTGCTGTGTTTTTACAAGAGGGCAGTTCATTGAAAGTCTGCTTAGGCACTGTGAAATGTTCATAGCAGCACCACACAAAAGCTGTTGCTTTCAAAGAACCTGAAACGACGTTAGGAAGGGGTTGGCGGGGCACGGTGGCTCACACCTGTCACCCCAGCATTTTGGAAGGCGGAGGTGAGAGGATTGCCTGAGCCCAAGGCTTCAAGACTAGCCTGGGCAACTTGGCGAGACCTCATCTCTACAATAAGTGAAAAATTAGCTGGGTGTGGTGGCTCACGCATGTCACCCCAGCACTTTGGGAAGCAGAGGCGAGAGGATTGCCTGAGCCCAGGGATTCAAAACAAGCCTGGGCAACTTGGAGAGGCCTTGTCTACAGTAAATCAAAAAAGTAGCCGGGCGTGGTGGCGCATGCCTGTGGTTCCAGCTACTTGGAAGGCTGAGGCAGAAGAATCGCCTGAGCCCAGCAGGGCTGCAGGGTCTGGGTCATGCTACTGCACTCCAGCCTAGGTGACAGAGTGAGACTGACTCCGAAAAAAAAAAAGGAATAGGCTTGACTGCACTCAGGACTTTTCAGACACTCAGCACTGACGAAGGCAGACATGAAGGAGGTACATCTACTGCATGTGTTCAGAGAGGAGAGATCAGGCTGATCCCTGAAGTTGATTTCCCAGGGAGAGAATCAAGTCAAGCTTTCTGAAATCGGTAGACTTGGGTTGTTGGGATGAAAACAGGAAGGAGGAGCTGGAGGCAGGATGCACAGGCTGGGAACATGGGAGAGGCAGGACTGCCAGGATGGAGTGGAGCGCGCTCCTAAAAGGAGATGCCTCTGCCCTGTCTGGACCCAACGTGCACATTCCTGGAAATAATATACAGAAATCCACCTGGCACATGAAAAATGAGGCTCAGAGAACAAAGCTCACCACTTCATCAGTGATACAGAGACAGTAAAAGCAGCAGCCCCCTTGAATATCCGTTATCCAGTGAAGACGAGTGTAGGTGCTCTGACGGATGTGACGTTTCCTGTGAAGAACGCCTAAAGCTTGTGAACTAGGGTGGCAGAACCTCGGGGCACATGGCAGGAGAGAGTTGAGGAGACTGGCCTGGCCTGGAGAACACACCTGAGTGGCCTGAGGTAATGAGGTGCCTGCCAGGATTATCCAGCTGCCGAGTCCTGAGGGCCAGTCCCAGGGCGGCATGGCAGGTGCGGAGGAAGGGGCAGGACTGGGCAGGACCCGTGATGGGCGAGGCAGTGGACCCGGGTAGGCCGTCAGGGTCTCAGAAGTCTCAGTTGGATGTCAAGAACACTGGATGTGCCACTGATGGAATCCCAAAAGTAGAGGGGCTCACTTGATGGGCACACTCAATCCTACTTAGGTGTCAGTTGCAGCTGGTGCGTGCCTTGTCTTGATGTTCTTAGGTAGGCATCAGGGAGAGTCAGGCACGCAAGCTTCCTGGGAGAAAACGCCTGGATCGCTTTTGTCGGCAGTGAAAGCAGACTGGACAGGCAGCAGCCATGGAGTTGGCTCGGCCTCCCTCTGTTCTTGGCACTTCGGTGTCTTTCCCTTTAGATGTCAGCATTGAGTATTTCGTTGGCCTGAAGTCCTCCTCTTACCTCACTAGATCTCAGCAAGGTTTAGAAACTGTCAAGTGAGTAGGTTAAGTCTGGAAGAAATGACAGAATTCTAGGGTATGAGGAAAACTGACGCACTGGGAAAGAGGATTTCAAATTTGCTCATATTCATTTTATTTTAGGAACTTTTTAACAAATATGAGAGGGCGATTTATGCAGCACTAAGTGGGAACCTTAAGCAGGTATGTATTTTAATATTTAAATTTTTCTGTGGAATAAAATCAGATACACAAAACATAATGTAATAATAGTGTACAGTTAGTTAACCTTACAAGCGTAGGCTGCTTTCTAAGCGTAATAATGATAATCTCAAACCAGCGGTGATGCGAACTGCTTGATTTGATGCATCCCTTCCACGTATGATGTTGTGATGAGTGAAATCAATCTTGGGTTTCCACTAAGAATTGTAGACGTTTATGTTTGTGGACGACCCACCACCCATAGCTACATCAGAAGCATGCCACTGAGGCACAGTGACTGCCTGGGTTGTCTCACACACGTGTGTGTTTCTCACAACCATCATCGCTCCCTTTATTTTGGGGGATTCTGTGAAACTCAGTTGAAACGCATCTTGTATCAGCATGGAAAATTGATCTAATTGTAAACTCAGTATGGAAAAAACTTTTAATTGTTGAAACTTCTTAGAATGTATAATTTGGGGGGGAAATTATTTGGTATAGCTTTTTTAATCCACAGAGTTTCCTACCATTTTAAAGTTACTTTATAGTCTGCATCAGTGGGTGTGATTGCTTTTGCTTTCTCTCGTGTTGAATATGTCTGTGTTTCTGCTTTGTGATGGGGAAAAAGCTTCTTCCAGTCTGTGACACGTGGGAGGACACAGTGTGGGCCTACTTCCGGGTCATGGTGGACAGTCTGGTGGAACAGGAAATCCAGACATCAGTGATGACCCCAGAGGAGACAGAAGAACTCCCCAGGGAGTACATGGAAGCCAAGTGAGTGTGTGGTTTGTTCTTAGTCATGGTGATTTGTAGCATGCTCTTTGCTGTCTTGTTTTACAGTCCTTTCCCACGTTAATATTCTGTTCTTTCTTTCAAAGTTGGACTTTAGAGAAGGTTTTTGAGGAACTTCAAGCTACTGACAAAAAGGTAAGTATCACTACCAACGTACCATGCTGCTGTGCTCTATAGCTGAAAGGAAAGTGTGTACAACTTTCTTCTTTCCCCTGCCCAAAGAAACTTGATTACATAGATATGTGATTTCTGTTTCTGTGGTTTAGGGTTGGTATCTAACTATATGCGTTAAGTGACATTTATCTTTTTCCTTTTGAAAATTTAAAATACATTATGGAAAATTAATAAGATTTTTTTACCTAGAGACCAAAATAACCTAATTTTTTTAAAAAATCATATTCTTTAAAATTTGTAGATATGCGAGTAATATTGTCTGTTCTTGTAACAATGAGATGATCTAAGGATGGATGAACAGCACCTTGACAGTCACCTCCTCCAGGCAGCTCCCGTCCCAGGACCGTGAGACGCACTGCTGTGTGTCCCTCAAGCTCTCTCCGTGGCCCGGCAAGTCCCTTACATGGTGCAGATGGTCCAGTGGAGAATTTTGGCTTCTGTTGTTTTTCACTGGTACTACATACATTACTATAAGACTAGGTTTATTTTTCTCTTTTTTCTTTTTTTTTTTTTTGAGTCGGGATCTCACTTTGTTGCCCGACTGGAGTAGAGTGGTACAATCCTGATTCACTGTATCCTTGACCACCTGGGCTCAGGAGATCCTCCCACCTCAGCCTCCCAAGTAGAGCTGGGACTACAGGGATGTGCCACCATGCTCTGCTAACTTTCTTTTTTTTTTTTTTTT